CACCACATATCAAGCCATTGTTTTTCTAAAATTGAAAATCTCTTTGTGATCGATTGATTCGATTATTTCTGTTAGAAGAACATTTTTCGATACATAGGAAAATCATATATTATGCACAAGAAGTCTTTGAATTGAGGTTTGTTAAAAGTTATATGACGAAAGCGTGTGTAAATTTTCCATCTAACAAGTATCACTATTACTGTCGCAAACATCACTTCATACTGGAAGACAGTGTACTATTTGTGATTCTTGATCTCATGCATGTGTTCTGCTTCAAAGTGTTAAGTATGTGTTTTTTTTTCGATGGCATTTGATTTCAAAAAAAAGATGGAAATTCATTAGGAATTGTTTCTTTGTCTTTATATTCTTACTGATAATAGTATTCTAGACTTTTCAATAATGACAAAATCTGTTGAAAATGGATCACTGGACCTTATTGAATCCTCTAGTGCTCACTTAAGACGAGAAACAACAGTACAAACTTTTCTCGTCGCCATGATATCTTTTTCAAAACTGAGTAGCCTTTGAACAACACACAGCGGCTAGTATTCACTTTATTTTATTCTCTTACGCGTGCCGGATGTCACTATAAAATAAGTAGAATGATACGGTACCTCTTTCAAAAAGTCTTTCTTGAACATACGAACCTTTATTCTTGGTGGATTTCTTTAGTGTCATCATCGTTGATGTCGATGGAGAAAGTGTACTTGGTTTATGAACGACTGAAGAAGATTGTTGTTCGTTCGATTTGAAGAATGGTGGTTTAATCAGATTAATTGGAGGCGTAATCTCTTTTAATTCAATAATATGAAGTTTCTTTGCTGGATTTAATTGGCCTATCACTTCAAAATATGAACCTGGCATAAGAATAACTTCTTTTTCGGTATCTTTGAAATATGAATGTGCTGCAACAGATTTTCCATTGATACATTCAATTGAAAAGAGGGTACGTGTTCCATGTTTACCCAAAAATTGATCTGATTCAAGGATTTCCATAGCAGTAGTACACGAACTTACTCCCCACCAAGCAAATTGTGTACCAGTTTTATATTTTGAACTTAAATCAACACCTCGAATACCACGCCATACTCTTTTACTTTGTGATGGTAGACTATGTAGAGCAGTAAGAAATAGCTTAAGAAATGAGAACCATGGTTTCAATGCTTAGCGATTCTCAGTGCGTAATGATTGATTAAGTAATTGATATAAACTTGGGCCACCATCAAATTGCATTGTATAAAGATGAATAGAAGCTGATTCTTGTTGATTTAGCCCATCAGCTGGCTTTCGGCAATTATGTAATGCAACATAAACATTATCTTCAATTTCATTGAAAAATCCAGAAACATGTTCAACAGCTTCAAGAAGTGAAACAAGTGGTTTATCTTGATAGCCTTTTATTGGTGATAAAAGATGATCGATAGGCTCATTGTAAAGATCAGTGAAACGAGATTTGCTACCAAATTGCATTGCCATGGCCATCTTATATATTTCAATCCACAACAAAGAAATAATAAACGTTAGAAATCTAGAAAAACAGATAACTGAACTAATTTTGTTTTGTTTTCATATTAATTAAGATAGAGATATAATACTGAATAAGCCAACGAACAAACATATAGACGAAGACGTATTCAAAGATAACTTTCAGCTCAAATAGAAGCATGATTGACCAATATCACAGATTCTCTACTACTTAATTATGAAAAATAAGATTCCAATAATACTTCTGAAGCATGTTCTGATCTGCTAGAAAAAGAATGTTTTGCCCAAAGGGCTTCTTCCCTCCGCCCTCCGCCCTCCCACTACTCCCTTTCCTTCAAAATAGAATCTTCATACTACAACATGCTATTGAATTGAAATTTCTTGCACATAATAGGATTGTCTAAGAACTGAGACATAAGAATTCCTTATGAGTTCATATGCTTTCATGTTTTCTGAGATAAAAAAAAGATATAATACCCACCAGAACTGGGAAAATCGACCCAAGTCAACGTCAAGTCAGGCTAAGTTATGCTTGACTTGAGGGTGTGGGTGTGAGTGTGGGGTGCGGGGTGTGAGTGTGGGATGTGGGTGTGGATAATCTTTTTCTCTTTCACCACACCCACACTGACACTAATTATGTGATATATAGACATTGTCAATGAATTAAAACTAATTAAAATAATAAATAAAAGCGAGATAGAAACAGCAAAATCAACCAAGGATTTTGATACCTAACAAGAATTTATCAATCGATCGTTCAAAAGAAAACTCTATCGTGGTGATCGATTTCATATCTGTCTCAATCGTCTCTAATTGTCAAATCATACTGGCACTATATATGTATTGTTTGATAGAATTCTTTCTATTTCAAGCACTATTCTAATAAGTCACTCATCATGAAGAAATGAATAAAAATCGAATATATGGAAAAAAATTTGTGTTGAGATGTTGTTGATTGAGTTTGATGTGATGTATGTAACAGTTTGCTTGTTTTCGCGAGTGATTCTTTTTTTTTTACCTTTATAACGAAACAACTTTATTCGTTTCTTATCATTCGTTATTTTGTCTAGTTTTTCTTTTTTTTTTCTTTTTTCTTACTACATACTCTATGACGAATAAGTCCACACAAGATGTGCACAAAACGTTGTATACCATGATACATGTGCACACAATGATATGCTTCAGTAATTTTCGCATATTGAGTCTTGTGCACGAAATAAAAAAAATACACACCTGAAAAGATATCGAAAAACAAAAGGAAGTAGAAAAAATTAAAAAAATTGTTTTTTATTTTGAAACCCATAATATATTATATTCATATGTATAAACAAAAAGCCTCGAGAAAAAATTCGATAATTATTTTCACATGCAGTTGATATCAAGTTATTACAATCTTACATAGTCATCTTCAAATATATCGAACTTTTTATTCTTGAAGCAAATCTAGTTGTTGATGTTAGGACATCAAAACGATCGAATGTTTAGTAACAACAGCATATAATTTAGTGTATATAATAAATACACTTTTGCTCATAAATTAACACTTTGAGCGACTGAAGAAAATCTTTTTGCGCAATGTGAAATGTGAGTGTTATAGTTAGTTATTCTATCTTCTAAGAAATGAAGATAGAACGGTTGACAATAGCATTTCTCTGAGCTCTGCACTCATTCTTTCTCGATAATCATAATTTTGCCAAGAAAAAGGTTTTTTTCGATAAATCAGCGATAATTTAAATTTCCGATGTCGTGCTGACTTGTCTTTTAGTTATCGGAATTAAGCAAATATCGTCTTCATCAATAGAAAATTGAAAGTTAATTAAATTACGTTTATTGAAAAGCGTGAATATAATATCAATAGTAAATTTTATCTAATTTTTTTTGTTTTTTTATTGCGTCGACGTATGTATTTTTGTTTTTCCTATTTCTGCCAAATCCAAATATTTTGCTTCCTTATTTTATAAATATTTTGATCGTCACTGATTTATTTGAAAAAAAAACGAACAGTAACTCTATTGAAATATTATATTATCGTTTTTATTTCATATTAAGACTTGGCTTATTAGACACATGCTTTATATGATGTAAACACAAAGACTTTATACTTGTCTTTTGAACAAATTCCTGAAACCAATTTACTGGACCAAAATATTTCTATAGGTATTTTAAAGTGTCAAAAATACATTATCCAACAGAAATAAATACTTTTTATTTCTATTACATATTAAAAATCATTGTATTCTGAAGTATTGTTTATTATCAATGTCTGAAATTCTGAGAAGCTCATTTAAAAGTTTTTCGTTCTAGGATATTTCTTTGTATGCAATCGACTCACTTACTCTCCTAATGAGCCTTTTTTGCAAATTACACTAGTATACACCCTGCTCTACATTCAATATTTTGTCCACAGCGAGTTATTTATAATATGTCAAATCGAAATGTTTTCTAATATTGAAATCAAGAATAATAATTTTTCGGAAAGCTTTAGAAACTTCTCTTTTTCTACAAATAGTCTTTTCTTAAATATATATAGATCAGAAAAAAGAATTAATCATCCATTAATTTTCATAGGCAGATTAAACGCCTATTTCACTGATGTCGAAGAGAGTCTCTTTGCAACATATCATCGCAGACATGAACGAAAAAATGTTACATCATTAACATTTGAAAACATATTTACAAGACAAAGTTAAATAGAGTTTTTAAAAGATTTAGAATAAAAAAACCGAAAAAGATGGAAATAAACGACTGATTCATAGGCGACTAAATGTTTCGGTTGAGTGAAGCTTAAGCCTCACCAGAATTTGGGTCTCCTGGGCTCAGCTTTAGTTGATTTTATGAATTGAAAACGTGATCTTGAGGGTGTGGGGTGTGTGGGTGTGAGTGTGGTTGTGATGTGGGCGTGGGCGTGGGTGGATATGGTTGTGACTAAAAAGAGAAATGACACCCACACTCACACGCACACTCCACACCCACACCCACCCACACACCCACACCCATCCCTGATGCTATTGATAGAAATACATAGGTTTGTAAAGAATTAAAAGCATAATCTTTTTGTGAAAAAGAATCGGTTTCAAAGTGATCAAAACTGGATGAGATATTGGAAAAATACTAACATCGCTATTACTTCTGAAGTATCCGTTACATATCGAAATCAGAGTGTGGATGTGGGTCTTCTCTATATCAACCGAAAGCCACACCCTGCCTACACCCCGATTGTCCCGAGTCATGTTTTCGATTTTTGACAAGTCTTAAGTCGAGTGATTATTTTTTTTGTTGGCCGTCTATTTGACAGGATTACATTTCGATTATTCATACTGTCCTTGAATGTCTCTTTTGAGGTTAACAAGGACAAAAAAAAGGCATGAGTTTGATGCAAGTCAATATCAAGGAGAAAGAAAGAAAAATAGTCAGTGAGATAAGGTATTTTTTTAGTGCAAATAATCATTTAATACGCGTGCGTGTGTCTATATAAAAACAACCAAAACATAATCATTACTACAACAAGGAGAATAATGGGAAAGCTCGATGGAAAAGTTGCTCTCATTACAGGCGGTTCTGAAGGTATTGGCTTGGCCACTGCTCAACGATTCATCACTGAAGGTGCAGAGCATGTCTTCATCACCGGACGCCGTCAAGAAGTACTCGATGAAGCTGTTAAAAAGATCGGTAGCAAAAATGTGACGGCAGTGCAAGGTGATGTCTCAAACATGGCTGATCTTGACAGATTGTACGACATTATTCAGAAAGAAAAAGGTCGTTTAGATATCGTTGTCGCCAACGCAGGTAACAATCCGAATGCACCACTTGGAGCGATCACTGAAAAGCATTTTGATGATTTAATCAACATCAATGTGAAATCAGTATTGTTTACTGTTCAAAAAGCTTTGCCAATATTAGTTGATGGTGGATCCATTATCTTAACCGGATCTATCGGTTCTATGAAAGCTACTCCAACTGCGAGTGTCTACTGTGCTACAAAGGCAGCTGTTCGCTCTTTCGCCCGATGTTGGACGGTCGATTTGAAGGAGCGAAAAATCCGGGTGAATACACTGAGTCCAGGACCAATCGAAACGCCAATGTTAGAACGTGCAGGAAAGAGTGAAGCAGAAAACAAAGCATTCATCACAGGTATGATAGCTCGTTCACCAATGAATCGATTAGGTACACCTGATGAAATTGCCAAAGCTGCAGTCTTTCTTGCTTCAGACGATAGCAGTTACATCACGGGTATTGAACTGTGTGTTGATGGCGGCTTAGCACAAATCTGAGATATTTATTTTATCAACTCAGTTTGAAATATAACATTTTATTTCTTGTGACTATGGAGCTTTCAGCACGAAGTTATTCAGGGTGTGGGTGTGGGTGTGGGTATGGAGGGTGTGGGTGTGGATATGGATGGATGTGGGTGAGGGTATGGATATTCTCTCATTTACGCGCACACCCACACCCTTCGATGTATGTCTAATTCAATAATTTCCTTTTTTATTAGTTTTTTAATTCAATTCTACAATTCGGTTTTTCTGTAAGATAAAATATAAATCAATTTATAAACAAGAAATAATGTACATTCATTCTTAGCTGTTTTCTTTTATCAAGTTTCAGTTGATTTAATCATTATTCTAAAGAACAATTTCAATAGAATCGATCTATAGGAAATTTATTAGGCTTAAAAATCTCCGTAATCATCATTTTCATATTGATTTATTTTTAGTTGTGTTTCGTCTTAGAACAAACTAACATTGAATTATGAAAAACTTAACCTGCAATCTGATTAGATTTATCTAAAACTCTGTAGATTTTGATAAAAATTCTTCAGAAAAGAATTTAAGAGGAACATGAAAAGCTTTGAAATATTTTCCATAGATCAAGTGACATTCATCAGGAATTCTTCATAGTTCCGTCTTAGATAATTCTACAAACTTCTATGAATAGTCAAATAAAAATGAGATCAATAGGTAAAAATAACGACTACGAAAATTCTTCAAAGTTATCGAATTTTAAATGAATGAATATTTTAGAAAGTTTTCATGAAAATTCGTCGTTTAGGTCGTTAACATATAACTAGAAAATAAATAGATTTTTATATGACTAACATGTACATTAACTAAAATTAAATTAGAATAAATTGACAATCTGATGATTTTCTTTCTAATATGTAATTATAAATGATGGTCACTGTTAATATTAACAAATTTTATTTTAAGTTTCAACTTTGACTAATGATTATATTTATCAAATATGATTTCGATTTATTTTCAATAAAACTTTTCTTTTGTTACTTTCATTTAACTTTATTTTCTTTAGACTTACATTGACTGTTACTAATCGTTCAAGAATGGCTTAATAATGTTCATCATGAAAAATTGAATACATAGATATAAGAGATTCATTTCAAAAAAAGTTTATTTTCAAGACAATATGTCTAGTTATTCTCATCATCTTTTTTCTTGAGATTGTAGGATGTGAGTGTATCTCATCTCTTCATTCACACTCCAGTCTTATTATAGAGTCTAAACGGATATAGCGTTGATTACAAATAACTTATAGAGAAACCAATCAAACCAAAGTATAATAAACAACACAAAACAAGAAGCAGAAATAATATGAATCATCAACGAAAGTTCGCAGAGCAAAATACGGAGTCTTTAACGTCATACTAATGTTCGAGAGGTGAACATGTTAATCATTGCATCATTACTTGTTAAAAGTAAGAGTAGTATCATCATCAATCGCTTGACATTGGCCCTTACCCATGAGAACCATATTGGACATTATATCTGTAAATAATACCAAAAATGGTGAATCAATTAAATCACAACGTCTAATTTTGATATTGATATCAAATAAGGATGATGACGAATCCAATGTTACATAGATTCTTGTTTCTGTTCTTGGTATATTCGATTGATTGAGTACAAGAAATTTGATAAATGGAAACGATGAAACTTGAATGTTATAAGATAAAACGTGTTGCACAAAAATTATATAATCACTAAAATTGTTCATAGATTCTATTTCTATATGTTGAACAGCAATTGTACGATTAAATGTATCATCAAATGTACATTTCGTCGTTTTAAGACATCGTTGGTTATGCAATAT